GGTTGCCTCTTCAGAAGCAGAGGCAACGGCGTAATCAGGCGCCGGAACTCGATTCCGGTATGCAGCACTACCTACTGAAAGGGGTTGCAATAGCAGCGTACTTTATACGATACCGTTATTGTTATAGACCGGTTTTCATTCTGGATGTAGTTCGATCGTGACTCAAGAAACAAAACAGAATGAACAGAATGAACTAAAAGATCTCCTGTCAAATATGTATAAGCAAGAAAAGCGATGTATGTTTTTAAGCAGGTGTCCATCAGTGTTCTTAAAGCAACAGTTCCAGGACGAATTTACGAGGTAAAAACCGTTGATAATGTAGTTATAGCCCACAATTTGACCGACAGTAATGAAAAAACCAAAGAAAAACGCGGAATAGGGCTTTAAACAGGAACTCACCCTCTGCTCTTAGCGATGAGAGAAGACGCGTGCTGGACGAGTTGTCCGCTGGGGAGACCCTTCCATTTAGCTGGGGAGCCCTTCCATTTATCTGGGGAAGCCTTGATTCCGCTAATAACTGACTGACTTGGTGGCCATTACAACAGATTACAACCAAAAAAGAAGCAATTCCACAGGATCAGATTGATTACTTTAAAGGACAGAGTTCATATCCCCCTGTGGTCCCGAAACGAGCACGAATGCCTCCGTAGCCAATCACGGCTGGCAAGTGGGCGGTCCCGAAGAAATTTCCAACCACACCCATCTTTGAGGATTTAAACGCCCTTTTTGGGCTTTTCCCAGGTGAGTTTTCTTTATAACTTCACTTCAGATGTTTTCCAATAGGGCCTGCGTATACCTTTAGTGCCATTAGTATTGAAAAGAAGCAGACCCTGCTGGGACTGTTGCTTTAAGTATGGTTCAACGGCAATACTACTGTGGCATGGAACAATATTTGTTTTGCTTTTTGAGTGCTTTTTTGGATCTTCTACTGATGGTGGACGTATTAGATTTGAGTTGTTGTTCTGAATTGAAAGTCTAGGCCCTAAGGAGGTCCGCCTGTCTCTCCACTAGGTAAGTTTCTCCCTCCGACCTTCGTCCTTATCGTGGAATCGTCTTTAAGTTGCGCAGTTACCGCTATCCATACTAAACTCTTTGCTGTGAGCGTATCGCAAGCGTTGATGGTTTGCTTTTATGGACGTCGATCTATCAATCTCGCTTCAAATTTGTGGGTATATTTATGACTCTTTCCTAGAAAAAGAACTAAAAAATCCAACACATTGCGTAAAGGGCAGTTCGTGCTGTGGCGAAATGCCTGGCCGCGTGTGTGTAGCACCATCTTATCGTCTATCATACCCATGCTACTTCCCTTCTGATGGAAATATAAATTATTGTAGACTAAATGCTATCAGAAGGCGATTCCGACATACTCCTGTTCTCAGAGCGACTTCTCCTCCAAGAATTGCTTTGAAAGCCGAGAATTGGTATTCAGTCAGAGATATACGTGGTCTATATGGAGGATGGCGGAAGAATTTTGAAGCCAGTTTCGAATGAATTTCGCACAGCGCATTTTGCAGTTTAGCGCTGTCATGGTGAGCAATTGGACCTCTTTTCCTCCCTAGAACAGGGCCCCATCCCCGCGTTTCCTTATGCATTATATTCTACTCTCTACGGCAAGAATGCTCCGTCGTCGACCGACACAATTTTCTGAGCTTGCAATGAGCTGCACCATCGACCATTGAGGAGAACTCCTGTTAGATGTGTTGCGGTTTTTCCTGTGTCTCAAAGCAGCTCATTTTTGTTTGTCCATGTGAGACCTTTTTTCATTAGCGTGCGAAAAATTGGTTTATCATACACTATTACCCATCTTAAAACGGTCCCTTCTTCTTGCAATGAAGCGTCCAAGCACTCGCCTTTCTGCTCGCCACAGTGTTTCAAGTGCCAGCATGGGTCAGTTTGATGAACAGATTGATGGCGTTTTTCCTCCTTCCTCATAGCGTCTAATCACTGTGCATAGACATCCAACCCCTCCTGCCACACCTATTGCCACGCCTTTGTACAATCCTGTATATAAGGGGCTTTTCTTTTACTACGTGCATAATTTTCTAGCTTCATTTTTCCAAGCCCACACCTTACGAGCCGATTCTGGTGTGTCTCTTCCATAAAACAGGAATGTGTGTAAATAAAGGAGTTCACCTTCTCCGACAAAGATTACATCCAAATTGCTTGAATAGTTACGAAAAACGAAATAATGTAGGGAATTACTCGAGGTGCAACGGCCGATACTTTTTGACCAACCTGATATTTTTGCATCGAACCACTCCAAACACCACCGCAGGAAGATGTTCTGTTTAGCAATTCATGTCTGATAAGAGAGATAAGAGAGAGAGATAATAAGAGATTTTGCAGTAGGCATCACTTCAGGAGCAATTTTTCCTTTGACGGTGTCCCACAGACGTATGATGCCCTTTGTGTTAATAAAGGACTATAGGGATTAAGTTTTTAGCTGTTGATCATGCCGTTTTGGGATGCGGCACGCATTTACTCAATTTGTACATTATTGTATCGATAGCCAGTGGCGTCTTGACTGGCGAATGTGGGCCTATAAATGATTGTAGGGCCAGCCGATGTTCAAGTCAGTGTTTTTTATCCTCCCAGACAAGTCTGGTACCAATTAACCGACCCCGGAGGGATGGAAGGCTTGGTTGGCCCGGGCGACTCACGACCCAGGATTTGATCCCCGGACCGCTCGCGTGGTAAGCGTGCCACTTGCACTACACCACTTCCGCCCTTTGTGTTAAAATATATTTTTGGGCAATAGGCACATTAACGAGCAACTAAGCATGACTGTGTCAACAGAGAATACGCGTCGCCATGTTTAGCTGCCCGTTTCGTTATCGGATTTCATTTTTTCGACATATACAAATAACATCATTTTTATAATGTGGACAGCAGTTTTGGCAAGATACAACAGATTGCGAGAAAGCCTGTCTACCCACAACTGGGTCCTGTTCTTATATCCAGCATTCGGCATAGTGAGCTAACATAAGTAATCGCTGGAACAATCTAACCATTTTGCAAGGTAGAGAGGCACACCACGGATGTCAGTCAACCTTTCACTTCACTTTCACGCAGTTGAAAAAAAGGCTTTTTGAATAATTAATTGGCACTTTATCGAGAAAAGCCAGTTTTGAAGAGTTCATCTAGACATAGCGGTACTCCAACTTGGTAACAGTAGCGTAGAATCGATTGTAGGTGATTACGGGGACAAGGTTTGAATGCGATCTGAGTACAGTGTTAGCATCGTCTTTTGAGCAGAACCTAAACGAACCACTATATTAGGCTTTGCTTCAGTAACTATTTTGGTTAGGATAAATATAACTTCTAATTTCTTATAATCGGATGTGCGTACCTGTAACCGTTTGGCGTTGGTTTGTTTTTTTTTTTTTTTTTTTTTTTTTTTTTTTTTTTTTTTTTTTTTTTTTTTTTTTTTTTTTTTTTTTTTTTTTTTTTTTTTTTTTTTTTTTTTTTTTTTTTTTTTTTTTTTTTTTTTTTTTTTTTTTTTTTTTTTTTTTTTTATTTCTACACCTGCATATGTGCATCCATCAACAGCAATTCCATCAGGGAAGTCCACAAATTTCACTTCTATCTTTTTGCCGGCCGGCGCCTTTGATTTCGATTATGACATTGAATATTTGTGATGTTTTTGACTCCGCGAACCTTAATCCAGTAGTTGCACTTCATGAACTCTTCTCTCGGAGTGGGGCCAGTCTTTCGGTCTCCCAGCTCGTCCACAAGCGGTTGCCATTCCTTGGTCGCTTCTAGTTCTGCACCCGCAACGGTGATAGGCTAAAAAATTCTTTTAGAGGAATTTTGTTAGTTCGACCAGTAAGAGGGACCAGTTACCCTTTCTCACAGAACTGTCCACCGTATCCACTAGGGCAAATGCATTTGGAGCAATCACGAGGATGAGCGTATCCATAATTTTGGCACGGTGTGTTCTTACCTTTGCATGCGTCTAAAACAGTGTTTCTATTGAGCACGTGAGCGAGAAGCAGCAAAAATCATTCGAAAGATTCTACTTACCTGTGCAATTGTAGTGCGTGTTAATCATGAGCAAGTCGTAGTAAGATATGAATGGGGATCCTAGAGTCTCCGTGTACATCACATCCTTCGGCACCATGGTAGGTTTACCGTTTACAGTACCGCTAAAAGTTTGAATTCATCTCCTCTATCCTCATCGCTTCATAAACTACTCTACCTTGAGGCTCCGTAGTGCATCACGCTACCGTAGTCATATGGTTAAACCATAATTGTTATTTGTTGAGATTGTTTCCCGTGTGAATTGGTCGAGATGTTCAGGCTAAAATCTCCAGCAATGTTGTCATCAAAGCTATGTACCATTTGTGCATCTTACCACTATATTTTGTTCGTCAACCGTAATATATTGGTCACGATCATATCTTGCGTGCGTGTGGAAGAATCCGAGGGCGTGGCCAATCTCGTGAGCAGCAGTTCCAACCTACAGTAGAACGTACCTACATACATTAAAGGGTTCTCGAGAAAATGCTTATCGCTTTTTTTGATGTTACACGTTACTGAAACAGTGTTTCACAGAAGATCTTCATTGAAACCGTACCGTTTCACAGCCTTCACCCAGGGAGAGGTTTTGCACACCACCATTCTACCAACATAGGACCAACATCCATTGTCCGCAAACACTCGTATACTGTCTTCTGCTGAAACTCAGACGTACAGCGGAGTTCTGCTGCTGTTTCCAATTGATCAAAGCATTACCGAATTTGGTCGGTATGAAGTTGATACATGTATCAGACATCCATTGGTGTGCAGCTTTCTTGAACACACTTTGAACCTGCGCACCTGAACATAGCCAAGAAAATGGGTGTTAAGAAGAATTTAAAGGCCAGTCCCTAGTTTTTTGTTATATGCACGAGCAAGACACGTGAGGTCAACCACTGACTCGCACTATCGTCAAAGAAGTAGCTGACTCCTTTCGACCACTTCATAACCAGGATATTTTTTTCCATACATAGCTCTGTCGCTTAGAACGGGTGCCGAGAATGTCTGCGATAACTTGTTTTTGTTGTTCCCTTAATATTACACAAATTTTCCACTGCTCATATGGAGAAATCAAGTAAACAGACTTTGTGAGAACTATATCTCCCTGGAATAGTGTTGTCTGCAATTTTGCTCCATACGTTGATCTCCTCAATTGAGTCTCCTGTCGGTAGAACTTTATCAATAGTTTTTCTTTTCAACATCTGAAACAGTTCAAAAAATCAGTTATGAATACATGAATTTCTGTGAGCTGCCAACCTTCAGTCTTTCTACAAGCTCATTTCTTTGCTCCTTCGACAGGTGAAGCGACTGCAGTATCTTTTCTCTCAATTTTTTGCGAAAGTCAATCATTTTGCTATTGATAACCTGTAAAATAACAAACACTTAATAGTTGCAACTTCTACGGATCATAAAATTCATTCTACCTCCTTAATGCGATCCATAGTCTTTTTTATTTTTTTGTTCACTTCGTGCTTGATGAGCCCTTTGAGGCTGCCAACCACGAAGCGATTTTTTGAGGTCGAACAAGTCAGCGCTCACGCATGCGGCCACAAGTAGAGTGAGTATAATAATCCTCATCCTGAAATGTAGAGTTCGAAATGATACAAGTATACTTTAAATGAGAAAACTGCTGAATGATGTAGCCGCACACTCCTGCTCATATTTATACGATATCTCTAGGCCTTGGAATTGACATAGCGGGGTGTTTGACGTCGAATCATATCGGGCAATGTAAAAAATTACTATACCAGCTGCCATTCTGGCTTACACATGCATTGTAACATGCTTGGAACATCGCTCTAATAAGCCGTTCCTTTGAATGAATAACGAGTGAAAGCACTTGGAGCATAAGAAGTATGATGTGAGATATTCCGGCATAGTCCTACACCAGAGTACATATAATTTGTATTAACCGTTTGTTGGTGAACCCCTACAATGTTGAAGAGGTGACTTTCAGATTACGTATTTATCATTAAGTCACTATAGTTATGAACGTTGGTACGTTAGTTGCAAAAGAGGCTGCTGTAGTGGCATTTCTGTTTAAGACCCTTATTGTATTAGCGCATTTTCTGAGCTGAATCACTCCTTCCAAAGGCCTCAATCCACAACTCAATAGCAGCTCTGGAGTAGTTCTTGCCTTTTTATTTGAAATTTCCGAAAAATGTAAGGCTGAGGTGTGGTGCAAATAGTGGTTATTCAGTCGTAGAAACGGCTTATTTGAGCGATGTTCTGATCATGCTACTGTGCATGCCGTAAGCCACAGTGGCAGCTGGTAAAATATACTTTTTACATTGCCCGATATGATACGACGTCAAACACCTACGCTATGTCAATACCAATGCTAAGAGACATCGTGTAATATGAAGTATTGTTGTCTCCTTACAGGCAGCCAATCCAGTCGTTTATTGAACTGCAGACGAATAATTGAACCATACTCAGAGAGTAGCCCTTTTATACACAATGGTAAACATATTATTGTATAGACTACTATCATTCCCCAACACCTCCCCCTATGTTTAGCATATCACATATGTCTTCATTTTTGGATTCACTTGAAGACGGTCGGGTGCACGGCGGTGTCGGTTCCAACTGTCCGTTGTCTGCGGTAAAGCTGTCGATTTAGTTCTATCCAAAGTATCGTTTTCAGAATCGACTGTAGTCTCCGCTTTTTCATTACATGCACACAGCAGGCCTGAGCAAACGTCGAAATGCTGAAAGACTGCGGCCTTCATCAAGACCTAGCGACCGATTTCTACGTGAAACAGGCTCGAGCGGAACAAAAGAAAGACCCGGGTGGCCGAAGAAGATAACTCCACAGCAGGGACGTGCGATTAGACCACCTCGTTTCAAGTCGACTATTAGCATCAGTAGAGTTTGAGCCACCTGAACGGATTGATAGCCCATTATGACGATATTCAAGGCGATCAAGGGTAACAACAGCATAGTTAGATATCTTCTGCACCCTGCTCCTCGACTTAGTGAGGCTCACAAGGAGGCCCGGCCTCAATTTGCCAGAAAGAACATGGCAACAAATTGATCGAAAGCACGCGTCCTCCTCTTGAAACTTTCTAAGTTGAAATTTTCTGCTTAGGTGATCTTTGCCGACGAGAAATAGTTCAATTTGGACGGCACAGATGGAAATACGTCTTACTGGGTAGATCTCCGCAAGGAACCGAAGTACTTCAGTGCACGCAATTTCGGTGGAGGTAGCGTCATGGTCTTGGCAGGATTCCATCTAAACCGGTGAGCTTGAGATCGCCTTCACCTCCACTCATATGGACTCGTCGGACTACCAGGACGTGCTACGTCGTCATCTACTACCTTTTCTGGCACGTCTTGAAGAAGGAGAATTTGGTTTCCAACAAGACAACGTGGTGATCCACGCGAGCAGGTTCACATAATCGTGGTTAGAGCAGCGAAATTTAGTCGCCATGGACTGGCCTGATCCTAGTGCATAGAGCGCACCTGGGGTATACCTGTCGGGATGGCTTGGATGTGCAGTTGGTGTATAGGTTAGTTGAATCAATGCCGAATCGAATTTTTGAAACGATTTCTAAACATGGAGGAACAATTGATTATCAAGAAGTTGTTATATGTTTGTTTTCATAACAAATGTATTAGATTTCCGAGGTGCGTCTATACTTTTGATACAGGCAAAATAATGTTCACCTGTTAGAAAAAGGCCGAATTCTCTTCCAATTCACGTGAAAGCTGGTAACATAGGTTTTCGCGCATGCTGATTCAGATGGTGATAAGCCTGTTTGTTGAGAACTTCTATGGAAGTCAGCTGTGGTACTTTCAGGGGTGCGTCTATACTTATGATACGCACTGTATGGTAGTGTCTGATCTAAATGGATCTCCAATTTTGTACGATCTTTTTCATGCTCCGTGGTGACGACTGAATTGCTTTTCCATATCTCTTATCTATCTCAGCTCTTATCGGTTACGCGTAGTACGAAGCTCCACCCTGTAGCCGGCGTGGTCGCTTCGTTTGATTAATGAATTAATTTATTTATTTGTGCACTATAACAGTTACTTGATCAAATATTGGCTTGTTGGGGAAGCTCCCGCCGATTTTGACCCTCAAATTCAAAAGCGCATATCTCGGTTCAAACTGAACCTTTTTGATCGAAATAAAAACTATTACAATCTCCTATACCTTTGCCCTAAAAAAAGAGTTTAATAGATCCGGATGTTGGAAGTGCTGGAGTTCTGTAGGCGAAGAACTTGGCGAAGGTCGTTCCACCATCATGTTGGGTTTCAGCGTTTGATCTCTTTGAAAAGACTCTCCAGACGGCTAGTAAAGACTTAGTTGGTAGGCAAGAGATATACTGTGCGAGTGTGCAAGTGTCCACAGTCTGCAGCTTGGCTAGTTCAACTTGTGCACGGGTGGAAGTGCGAGATCAGGCTGCGCAGCTGTGGGGAAAAGGGTCGGCGGCACCCACTTGTCGACTTCTTGAACGTTTTTTGACACCTGCGTATTTGGGAACCCCATCTCAGTTACGCCTAATTAGGAAGCGGCCTGTTCAACATTTCATGCAGATTTGGTTTGATCGAAACCTCAGTTATCGTTGTCAGTCTCCGATATCCGACCTTCACCCTAATCTTCTGAAGCTTTATCACGGCGAGAAAGACATTTTGAATCACGACTGCACAGCGAATTTTTTGCGGATTCGGGACCAAATGCTTAGTTGATATCCGACTTGCTTCTACACATTTCCGACAAATTTGAGTGAAACAGGAATTCCTGCAGAACAGCTTCTTGAGTACGTTGTATTCAAGACTTCAGAGAAGTGGAGAAAAAATGTTTCTGTGTAAAAGTAACAAAAGAGCCAGAACAACAACTAACACTTCCAGAAACAAAAGTAACAATAGATTTATAAAAAGCGAAAAATACGCTTTCTGAGGGTTTATGGAGTGGTAGCAGTTTCTTAGAAGGGATTCAGAAATGAAGCTTCGAAAATTGGGCCATTAAAAGCGGCGGAAACTATCCGAATAACCCAATGCAAAGAACAGCGCTAAATATCCGGTTTGATCGTGACTCAAGAAAGAAAATGAACAAAATGAACTTAAAAATCTCCTGCCAAATATGAGCAAGAAAAGCGATATACATATTCAAGCAGGTGTTCATCAAAGTTCTGCAGTATAGTTCAACGGCAATATTACTGTGGCATGGAGCGATAGTGAGAGGCTTCAAAAACCAACGCAAAAAGCTCAAAGCGCTACAGAAGAGTTATACTGTCCATACATCAGAATAAGTCCAAATGTTTCAAAATTTCCGAATTTCGCTTTTTGAGCGCTTTTTTGAATCTTCTACTGGTGATTCACCTATTAGATTTAAGTTGTTGTTCTGAGTTTGATGATGGATTCAAGCGGGAAGACATCAAACTTGTCACTTTTCATTTTCTCCGTGTGGGCTTTAATTTGATGCATAGTTTACCGCGTTTCTGTGTTTTCCTCCAAAAGTGTTGGGGTTTCATGGAAAGATGCTCCTTATAAATATTCCTCTTTGTCCAGTGACAAAGAAATTATGGGGAAATTTTTAGTCATATTTCGCTTCTTTCCCGACTTCATATTGAAAAGTCTGAATCGATTGTGCGACCTCTTTGGTGGATCTTACAAGGGATGTTCCAAGCTTTTTCACAATACAAGCCTTCCAGAGACTTCTTGATTCAAAAACTGCGAAAAATTGTGACACCAACGCCCACTGTATTTCACAACTTCCCACCAGTTTTTACCACTAAAATTCTTTTGGTTAAAGGCTTATCTGGCGTCCAATACATGTAATACTGAATTTTATTGTTATCTAAACTTCACCTTATGCACGAACTATTTGAAACGTCACAAACGTCAACACGAAATGCAAAAACTGTCACCACGAAAATCGAACTAGGGACCACTCTTTCTGGTATCCAGAGGGCCGTTCAGGAAAAATGAACCATTGCTTCTGTGGTTCCCACATGTGTCCCCAATGTCATCCAAGAACCATTTTGAAAGCTTGGCACACCCTGAATGACCTCCCTTGCAAAATTGTTGGAGCTCGTCCTATTTTTATTGCTGCCATTTGTGCCTGATGACTCAGTCCATGCGAAGTGAATGTGGCCTTCCTCTCTTAACTTTACCTTTTAGATTGACAAAACCACAACCCTTCCTTGCTTCGTAAGCCTCCGTCAAAAACTATGGATTTTAGAATTTCCAGCCATACATCTCAGACTAACAGTGGATAATAACCAATAAGAAAGTGGCGGTTTTTCGACCCCGTCGTTTCGAAAGAAACGAGGCGTAATATCGCAAGTCACGGAAATCCCCTTCCTAAAAACTAGACCAAAACCGTTATTCGTCTCAATTATCTTCCCACTATTATTCTTCTTCACAACACGTTGTCCGTGTCCAGAACCCTGTCTATAACCGACGTGTTTTCTTTTCTTGTGGTGCCGGTGGA